TTCAGAAAATGGAAAATAAATCAGATGATATTGACAAAAAAATGGAAATACTAATGCAAGAAAATGAAAAATTAGAACAAGCAAACCAAAATCTAGAGGGAGCGGTGGCGATCTTAGAAATGGAGAAAGCGGAACACTATTTAAAATTTCAAAATATTCCTGAAGACAGAGAAGAAAATATAGCAGTTGTGATTATTGATCAATGGTAACTCTGGGCAGCGAACAAAGTTGAAACAATACAGCTATGACACCTGAGCTTAAAACAATAAACCCAAGTCATAAAAGCAGCATTACCAGCAGAGCTTGCCTAACCTAGCCCAAATGCCTAGGGAAACAGCCTGGTCTTCGGTGCCTTACAAAAAGCTAACAGGGTTGGAGCCATCTGGGCCTCTGCAGGGATACTGTTCTACAGGACAGGCACTATCAAATGGAAGGCATGGCTCTCGGGTCCAAAATGATGACACCGCTTGATGAAAGGGACTTGGGGCCCATCCTCTCTGTCAGATCTGGTGGGGTGTGCAGAAACAAGAAGTGATCTTGCAAATAGCAAATGCAGAGCTTTATAGGTGATAGCAAGCACCGAGCATGGTACACAGTAGCCTTCTCAAAGCCAATGCAATTTGCACTGCAGTGTTATACATGTGTAATAAGAAAAATCAAATTTAATTGCATCACTGCATTCCGGACCAGCTGCAGCTGCTGAAAATTCTTCAAGGGCAGTCATAGACCATGTTGTTAGAAGTTGTAGGAAGTGACTAAGGCACGAGTCACTGTGATCTAAGAATGGGTATAACTGTTCCTAAAGACAAAACTGTGAAAACATCTCCCTAGCTATAACTGAGCCCAAATTTTCTGAATTGCTCCATCTGGGGAAATGCGTTGCCAGGCAGAATTAAAGACAGAAAATCTCCAGAGCGAGATACTTAAATCCAATAACCACTTAGTCTTGCCAGGGGTGAGCCAAAGCCTATTTCTCCCATCCAGATCCCTACAGCCTTCAGACACTGGGTAGAGGCTACTGGGAAAGAATCATAGCAAAATCATTTGGTTGGCCTGAGATTGAAAGATATAATTAGGTATCATTAGCATACTGATGATATGAACCTCAAACTGGCATGACCTCATCCAGTGGCTTCAGGTATATGTTAAACAGGAGTGAGAGGAGAGAAGAACCCTGAGGCTTGCCACAGAGCAGAAGTCTCAGGTTCAACTTCTACACCTCTCGCTATTGACTGGAACCAGCCCTGGTGAAAGGAGAACCACTGTAATACAGTATTTCTCACTGCCAATCCCCTGAGCTGGAGATAGCATTGAAGGCTACTGAGATTAAAGAGGGCCAGGATGGATGTACCATCCTATTTCAAACCTACTAGAGATCATCAACAAGATCAATCAATGTTGCCTCAGTACTGGGCCTGACTGAACCTGCTTACAAAATTTATATTTTTCAGATAATGAACTTTAGATAAATGAAAATAGCAGCAGATTCAAGCACAAGACACAAATAGATAAGCTGACTTTACTGCAGATGCCAAAGAAGCCCTTGTAGTGAAGATCAACTACTGCAGAATCTAGGAATCTAGCTAAATTTATGTCAGTTCTTGAGTTTCCTCTGCCCTTATGTAATAACAGACTTTTTGACATTCATTTCTCAGCCTGGGGTGTCAAGGGCGCTTTCAGAGTGTTTCTCTGATCTTTGACTCTTCCATTATCATTGGCTGAAAACATTCATCTCACCCCCCAAACAACCTGAGAATCTGCAGCAAAGAATTTCTGAAACCACTGCAGCAGATTTCAAGGGTTCATCACAAAAGCAAAAGTGAGAGATGAGACCTGTTCACACCACGTCGAATTTAACTCTAGATTTTTAGGATTTAAATTCTGATCTTCCCAATACTGTGTGTAAATAAATGCATGGCCATTATTAACTGTGGAACAATAGCAATCACATTAATAAAGGAGAATATTTGTAGCACACGGTTGACATGAGGGGTCCTTGGTGCTCTCTGAGCTTTCTTGTTTTCTTGCAGACGTTTCATTATCCAAACTAGGTAACATCATCAGTGCTAGTAAGGAGTGCTATTTACTATCAGCTTGTCCGGTGGCTTGCCTTTCACCACCCCCACCAACACTGACAGGCAAGCCACCAGAATATAAAGTTGACAGCAAGCTGCACTCCTTACTAGCACTGATTATGTTACCTAGTTTGGGTAATGAAATGTCTGCAAGAAAACAAGCAAGCTCAGAGAGCACCAAAGAGCAATCACATTTTCAAGGTGAAAGGAATGTGCAAACTGCAGCATTCGTGGATCCCCCTTCAGTGCAGAGGCATCAGTTCAAAAATCTGTACCTCATAAACTATGAGTCCACATAAGCTAGACATGGTCCCATAGGCACTGAGTTCACTAGGTAGGAAAGAGAAGCTGCAAACAAAAAAAAATAATGTCCATGGCCATTTACAATACTGCAGTGGTTCTTATTTAATCTTCTCTTTCTTCCCATCAGCTGATAGGCCTGTGGTTTTCAAAATCCAGAAACTCTGCTATTCCTTCACATAAGTACACTATTTTTAATATATTTATTTCTCTGAACAGCAAGAAAAATAATTGACATCATAGGTTAGGCAGGGTTGGCCCAAAAGCTTTCCTTAACTTTAACAACTATCAGAGGGACAGATTCCATATAAAACATATCTTCAATTATCAGATAAACACGGCAAATTTATGCATTTATGTAAACATGAATTTTAATAAATTTGAAATCTATATTTGATACAGAAATGAAGCTGCTAGTATAATAGTATATTTTCCTATATTTTTTTCAAATGCAATAAATATTAGATATAATCTATAGGTTCTGTTGCATATTAGCTTCTTAGCAATGATATATCTCCATGAGAAATATAAGAAAGATTCAATTTATGCAAGCTATGTAATGCTTGGGTATGAATGTTATCAAACAATTGCATGTTCATAATATATATTTTTATAATATAGAAATAGCTCTTCAATTAAAACATAGGTTGCTAGAAATATATCCAGCCATTTTGCAAAATCACAGAAAGCACCGTCAATTGTCAACCACTTGTAGATTTGAAAATGGAAGCAACTCAGTATTCACGAGTCATTTGTTGATCAAATACCTAGCTTGTAATTTTGATCAAAATGCACTTCAAAACTTCATTTTGTGGTTTGACAAATTCATAAGAAAACACAATTAACAAAATCACAATTTGCAGAAAGCACTTTAAAGTTAGACAATGCGTTTGGGATGTTCAAGCATGGATATTATGGATATACTGTATAGGCTTCCTCCCTCCCATATCACAGGGGCCTGTTTGCCAAGAACATAGAGCTATAAATCTATCCTGTCATCCTGAATCAAGAGGAAAACATAACTCTTGCCTGATAAGAAAGTGTGTTTGTGCTATGTATTCTCCTTTCAGAGATACAATTGACAAAACCTCTTCAAAAATATACCTGGAAAAACAAAGAACTGTACATGAATGGAGTGGGTTAAATTCCACTTCACTTTCTTAATCTAACATACGGTATATGTAGATTAAGCTGCTGCAACTCTGCTTTCACTTAGAAACTCAAATTACAATATAATACTGTTTCCACACATACACACATCAACTATTGGTTTCTACGTAACCTGATTAGAAATGGAAAGATACTTTTTTTTGGGTACAGTTTTGCTTGCTTTACTTTTTGTTGACTAGTTAAAACATTTTTCAAGAATTTGTTCTTTTAGTGGAAAAAACACAAACCTTATTTATAAAATTAAACAGTTACGTTGTACCCAGTAATAACAAGGGATGCTTATTGTTTCACCTTTACATTGGATATGTTATCCTATTATAAGAAAATTGAATTTTTTTTTTAAAAAATTGCTTGTTTACATTTTATGTAAATTGGCTAGATTGGCCACAAGAGTTCAAGCTTGTCAATGTTGTGCTTTTTTCTCTTTTTCGAAAAAAGGGTCATAGATGGTTGGCATGATGTAACTTCTCCTTCCCCCTTACTTAGCATATGTAATGTCCTGATGAGGAATTGTTGCTTTTCTTGGCAATCACCAACTATTCCAATCTTTCCCCTTCACAACGTTAACTTTGATTTTGCAATGTAAGCAGTCAGCATCCAGCTTTTCCCTGGAGCTTCTGCACATGGCAAAATATGTTGCTGTTCAAGGAGATGGAATAAAACTGAACATAAATCCAGAATCCAATATCCAAAAGAATTTTAGAAAACGGTCACTTTCTGAGCTAGGGTCTACTCAATATCTCTGAACCTTAAACTTAACCTGTCTGCCCACAATGGGCAAAGTTCAAGGATCAAGAATTCACAGAGAACTAGTCCCATTGAACATATCATAAAATAATTTAGACATGTTTTATATATCATCTATATCACAATCCTCATACAAGGAATAATGGCATGTGACAAATCACATTTGAATATATGAACAAAGGTTTTACTTGGGCACATAACCCCTCATAAACAATTCTTATAGTAATTTGAGCAATATACAAACCCTATAACAGTGGTGGCGAACCTATGGCACGCGGAGATGGCGAGGGACTGGCCCCTGCCACCGTGGCCCCGCCCACCCAGTCTGCCATGACCACCGTGGCCACGCCCACTCGGCACCCAACGATAAATAAGTGGGTTTTGGGTTGCAGTTTGGGCACTGGGTCTCTAAAAGATTCGCCATCACTGCCCTATAAAATACTTCATGCCAAATTTACTACAGTGAAGTTTTGGATGAAATTGGATCTGGGCCATTAAATACTTATAGCACTGTCTCAACTTCTGGAAGGCAAAAGGCATGATGACCTTATTATCACGTGAACAGTTTTCTTCCAACTACAAAAGCAAAGCTACTGTGCAATACCTAAAGACACTAAATGAAAGATTTATTTAAAATCAGAATCTAACTTTATAAAATAGGTAGAGATTATTATTTTACATTTAAGTTTATCATTTTCCATAGAGAATACATTTTTAAACTGCTCTAAAATTTCAATACAAAATAAGTGTAAATCAAGTTGAATAAAAAATATATTATACTAAAAATTTATACTTTTCTGTATGCAAGCTAATTCTGTTGCTCAAAACCAACAGTACAGCATTGTCTGGTTTTCTGTAAATGTTTAGAATTTCTCATTCATCTGAGGTATTCAGAAAACAAGTTAAACATAAACACTTCTCTTTCTGTGTTTTTGTTATTTCTTTTGTATTTCTTTAAATCTATCTTACTGTTATCAATTATATTCTTTCCTTTTCATTATCATTAAGTAAACAAAGCTTATTTTTATTTTCTTTCAGTACCCTGACAGAACGAACCCACGCTATATTTCCAAACTTTTATGGAACCGTATTGACTTTCTTGCTGTATATTTTCCACACTTTTAAAGTATGTGCATATTTCGTACCTCAGTCTTTGCAAGTAAACAAGATTATTTTACTACCAAAGACACTATAATGTATATTATTTTAAGTGCACAGTTGCATATATTCATGCAGACTTTATAGGAATGAAAAAAATATGTGGAATGTATATAATGGGAACAAAAGATTGGCCCCATATAGTGACACAAGTTGTTTTATTTGCATCATCAAATTATATACATGGTCTCTCTCTCCCTCTTCTTTCCGCTCCCTCCTTCCCTTCCTCATGTCCTTTGAATCATAAATAAAATGATCATTTGCCCCAAATAAACATTCAACATGCAGAAGGAGGGGAGGGAGGAGAGAATATGCAGTAGAATCCATAACTTAATTAAACTGGCAAATTTCAACTTATATCATTCCATGGACCATCTATACCTTAAAGAGCAATTTGTGGCATGAATGCTAAAAGTTTTTGGGTGCTGCTATAAATAAGGGGGATATTGTTCCTATCAGTCATGACCTCTGTGACTATAAGGGAAAAACAGTATAGACTAGAACTATGTTTCAGCTCCAGTACTGATGAAAAAAGCCCAATGCAGTCAAAGTCTGAGTCTCCAATTATGTCCTTAGTGTGGCAGGGAGGAACCCCATGGCAAAAGGGAGAAGCATTAGAGAAGTTTGGGCAAATGAAACAGTGTCTTGCACAAGGAAACAGATCCTCCACAGATATATAAAAACAGTATGCATGAGGTTTCCTCCAAATAGCTCATTGGAGCAGATTCTTATTTCTTGTTTGGCAGTAATTTAGCTTAGCTTGGTTGTGGATCAGGATTTGTGCCTGGTGCTTATTCTCTAAGAAACTAAAAGGCAGTTAAAACCAAGAGTTAATTCACCTAGCAACCTGCTTTTTTCCCAATCAAACCTATTACCTTCCAGCAGATTTCACTTTCTAATATTTCTGAATTCAAATTGTCCTAATAAAAATATTGAAATTTAATAACAGAGAACATTCCAAGAAGCAGTGCCCTTTCTTTTGAAGAAAGTGTAGTGTAAATTGAGAATGACGGCAAAGAAAGGCGAGCTTTTTTGTTTGGTTCCAATTTTGCCACCCGTGGCTTCCTGATGTGCTTTTTCTTCATTCCAAGTTTCTGTATTTGGTGAACAGATTGTAGAGCACTCTCAGCGTTGACTTCAAGTCACAGTTGACAATGTCTATAAAGAAGAAGTGGGGGAGGGAAGGAAAGGTGAGCTTTTTGAATAACCTGAAATCACAATGAACAAATTAAAAAGCCCACGCTGGGAAAAAACATAATCACACATTCGCATTTATAGGCCAAGACTGTGGTATTTCTATGTAGTAAGACTACTGAAAGCTGTTTGATTTTAATACAGTTTTAGCAGCCAACCTACAGGGTTATAATAAAAGCTGGCCACAAGTGACAAGTGTATTCCTTTGGAATAGATCCATGCAGCTTTGGACCCATGAAACCAAACACAACCCACCCACTATCTAATCATGGCTCACTAAGTAGGCAATAGACCTTCTGGTTTTCAGCTCACGTGGGATCGCAAACATATGGGATGATCAGGCACTTGGCAGGCTAAAACAAGTGGTTCAGAAAGACGTTATTAGACTCAGTTGGTCAAGTTGTTCTGTAGCTCTGATTTTGTTAGTAGAGCTGAAGCTGAAAAACCTAGAAGCCAAAACATTTCTCAAGCTTCTGCATGGCCTGTGAGGACTTTTTGACTAAGATGAGGAAACTGTACTTGCTGGTCTGCCACCATCCACTGACCAAAACAAGTTGTTTAAACTTGCCATGTCATTCATTTTCTTGCTGCTATAGCAAAAAAGGCATTGTCAGGGCCCTCTAGAGCAGGGGTCTTCAAACTTGGCAACTTTAAGACTTGTGGACTTCAACTCCCAGAATTCCTCAGCCAGCCAGGGCTGGCTGAGGAATTCTGGGAATCGAAGTCCACAAGTCTTAAAGTTGCCAAGTTGAAGATCCCTGCTCTGGAGTATCTGCCAGGCTTGATATTTCACTCTTTGAGCTTCCAATGTGAGGTTTTGGCCCGACATGGCTCTCTGGAATGACCACCAGATTCGTTACTTCTTATTAAGAATTCCTCAGAGCTGTGAACTGGAGAGCAGGTTGCCACCAAAGGCTGCTTTGAAAAGTCCTCAGACTGAAGTACGTATGGAGCTAGTTGTTCCTGGCAGTGGGTCTGGAGAACTGTGGGTGGGGCCTAATTCCAATCTGCCATCCTTGGTTTGCCCACTGAGGCTGAGATGTATGCTGAATGTGAGTCAGTCCTGTCACTATGCAACTTGTCTCAAAAGCCTTATCATATCTCAGTGAATATCCATTTGATTCTGAATGTCAATAGTGAACGTGGGAATCCAAATTTGCAGCACTGACTCTGCAAATCTCAGAGCTTCCTTCAGTGTAAGTCTTTTGGCAACTAACTACAGAGATAGTTTACATTCTTCCAGGATGATGTTTCAAAAGTGCCAGTCTCACCCACAGCTCTGGGATTAGTTATTGATCTCCCAAGCAAGGACTAACTAGGTCTGCCCAAGTTTAGGTTTCTGAGATAGACTAAATTCAGTTGGATTTGCTGCTCAAAAACAAGAGGTATTTTAAACATTTAAACAAAAATTCAGTAATAATTCTAATTATAGTACTCAAGATTGAATATGTATCAGAAACCAAACAAGGGAAACTTAAAATTGGATATTTTGAGTGGGATAATAATAGTATTTAGGCTTATATACTGCCCATGCTTTACAGCGCTCCCTTGGTGGTTTACAATGCAGAAGCATTATTTGCATATTGCCCCCCACAATCTGGGTCCTCATTTTAGCGACCTCAGAAGGATGGCAGGCTGAGTTAGCCTCGAGCCCCGACAGGATCAAACTCCAGGCTGTTGGCAGAGTTTGCTTGTAATGCTGCACTTTAACCACTGCACCACCAGGGCTCCTCAAGGATAGCACCTGGATTTACTTTATTTTTGGTTTTGGTCTGGCCCAGTTTACTCCAGCCTTATACCCTCATGATGAGTGGGATGACCACTTCCAAAATTCCCAGAAATGGACCAGGGCTAGTTGAGGATTCTGGAACTCACAATCCAATTTCACCAAACACTTGTTGGGCAAGCATGAAAAACAAATGTTATTCTGAAGACACAATTATACCTTTTCTCTCTTTAGGCTCCATGCACACTACAACATATTCACACTGTGCATACGGCAGGTACCAGGGAAAGATTCTAATTTATTGTGTGTTGTCTTTGGCAAATATATTCTATATTAAGATATTAAGAAGAACTGAACATGAGATTGGATCTGCTGCCTGTGATTGCTTTTGAGACCACTTATGTGTTTAGAATGAACACAGATTAATACAACATTTGATTTATTCTGTCACTTGTAAATACGTGGAAGGCATGTTTAAAGTAGTTTGTAAAATGACCTTTATAGCTCCAGGTTATTTAAATATTGGTTATTTCAAAATCTTAACAATGAGACCCCAAATGCAGCTTCTGGAGACTTCAGTGTGCCCTCCCCCCCATCATTTTTATGCCTGTCAGGCTTTCTGCATTATCAGATGTATCTTTTTCTTTTAATCATCATTTTCTTAAGGAGAAATAGTAGGATGAAATTCTCCAAAGCAAAAATGCAACCCTTCAGCATTCCTCCTCCCCTCCCTCTGAATACTTCTTTTCTTCATAAAAATGAGGAATGAATGTCTGAAGAACAGCGCAATGCCTATCTGTGAGAATTGGTGCCCATGAAGGGGGACTTGGTGTAATGGACTACAGTGAAGCAGCAGTTTCCCAGGAAGTGGGGAACCCATTTGTAAGGCAAAATAGGAGCACAGAGTAGGCATTTAATAGTTTGGACACACGCACACATTCGCTTTGTAACTGGTTATGCCAACAATTTCAACTTTGAAGGGCAACCCTCCTGCTGCAAACATTTTATAAGAATGGCCAACATACTCTTAAATGTCCCACCAGTCCAAAAAGGCTAAGGGTTATGTTTTTGTCAGTCATTCTTGGTAGAAAGGACAATATTACAGCTTTGAGGAAAGATATTGCTAGATATTGAGTGACAGTAAAAATAAATGATTTTTACACAGCACTCAGAAAAAAAAGAACCCAGGCAAATACTCTTATGCTGAACGTTACAGAATTTTTCTCTTTAAGATGAGGTACAGCTACCTGAAAGCTTGGAGAGAAACATTTTATTTCATTGGTAACAAAGCTGCCCATTCTATTTATAGATAAAAGATCTGACACCCAATTTCTTATTCTGTTCTTGTTTCTAACTATTTTTCATTTAGAAAAACAAGGGAGGAATTTAAAAGCTATTTGATGTTCACATTGTGATTATTAAAATGCTTTTCCATACCGGGTACGTGCTAGAAAATCTAAGCATGGACATTATGCCCAGATGTAACAACATATAAAACAGATGTGTTTTTCTATTCATATTGAGCAGGAAGTTTCCTATTAAGCATGTCAATAATTGTACATGAATGCTGAAATGTCTGCATGGTTTGATTTATACAAGAGAAAAAAAATCAACCATTTCTCTAAGCAGTCAATACCTGAAAAACTGAAATGCTGTAATAACATTAATGGGCCATAAGGGATAGGGAATCATAATATTTCTCTATTTTCAGCCTAACTCTATAATTCCCACTTTAACTTCACTCAGTTGGACTGATGCCACAAGGTAAAATTTGACTCCATATGTAGATAGATAATACAAAGTAGCTCCTGCTAATGTTAACTGACAGCTCTTCTATTACTTGTTGATTTAGGGCATTTTAATTAATCCAATCCTTGGAAGTCTTCTAGTCCAACCCCCTACTCAGACAGGAAACCCTATAACCATTTCGGACAAATGGCCGTCCAGTCTCTTCTTAAAAACTTCCAGTGTAGGAGCATTCACAGCTTTTGGAGGCAGGTTGTTCCACATTTAAGGTGAAGAGTACTATATTAAAATATCAAACCCTAGATGACAGGTAATTGTATTTGCCAGAGAAAATGGAATTAATTATTGAAAGTTATACCTAAGACAAAAAACTAGAGCGAATAGATTAATGTAAGTGATGCACATTTTGTCACTTGTCCCTTCTTGTCCCTCTTCTACCAACAGCCATGTTTAGATGGGAAATAGTTTATTTAGGGTGTGCCCTACTCTATGTCCGGACTTGCTGACAAATTGTAACATTTCCATGGCTATCACAAAGTCACTAAATCCTAATCTGAGCTGATGTTGAACTTCATAGAACCCTACAACTCTGATTGTGATTTCATATTAGAGAGATGCACAAGGATGAGAACAGCCCTCCCCCCCCAAAAAATACCCCTGATTCAGGAGTTATCCTTGCCATCTCTCTGTTTGGCATCAAATTCATAAATCGAGCTCTTGCTAGATTTAGGAAAACAATTATTTCAACCACCTATATTCTGAGTGTACAAGTCGTTCTCAAGTTGGTCATGTGACCAACCCAATTTTATGACCTTTGTTGTGAAGTCATTAAGTGATTGCTGCTGTTGTTAGGCAAATGCCACAGCTGTTAAGTGAATCAACCCTTTGGTGCCAATTTTACTAAAAAACAGAAATAACTGCTTCTTTTGGCAAAACAGTCATAAAACATGGTCACCTAATTGCAGCATGCTGCAGATGGCCATAAATGGGGCCTGGTTGCCAAGCACCTGAAGGTCGTCATGGGATCATCAGAACATGGAATATGGATTAGACCCCAGATAGGTCCGTTGGAACTTTGAATGGTTGCTAAGCAATCAATTGTAAGTTGAGGACTACCTGTATCTGTTACTTTGATGGGAAATCTTATGATTATGGTAGCATTACGATAAGTAAATGTCCTTTTCCAATCTTATAAAATCTCTATATACAGAAAGAAGATCATTAATACTGCTTCTGTAAATCATCAAAGCTATTCAAAATAAATTATTAAATTTCCTCTGGACTAAAAAAAGAAACTTTAAGATGTATATCTACTGAAGATGTTAGAATTTCATATGTTTGAGTTTCTAAGACCATAACAAATAGCAGTGGAAAATAAATTAATCCTCATAATTAGGAAATTGAAAACAGGCATTTATTTCCTATGAAACATTCCCTACATTTTTAGGTAGCTTTACCAATGAAATGTATCCTCAAGACATTCAACAAATACCTTCTGGCCTTGGTTTTGGTTTTTCCAGCCCTCCATCTTGCATTAACTCAAATGCAAATGAGACATTGAGTACCTGATGGGTTAATTAAGAGAAAGCAATTACAATTCTAGACTTGTTTACCAATAGTACATAACACAATGAAGCAGAATAATACATTAAAAACAGAAGAGTGACATTTATTTAATCTTTATTTAAATCAAGTGTTATTGAGGTTTTTTTTTGTGCAGGGCTATGAATTCTTTTAGGATGACGACCAGTATAAACATAAATAGTCAAATTAATTATTCTTTAAATGCATAAAAGTTTACCTTTTGTTCAAAACTGTCAGGAGTTAGGAAGAAGCTGTGAAGAGGCACAAAATAACCTTCAAGAAGACCCATCAGGAGCACCAGATATACACCATCTGCAAACTTTTAAAAATAACACTTTTTTTAGATCTAATCTTATAAAGATCACTCTTTGACATGATAAAAAAGTAATTGCTTGATTTTAAAGTTTTGTAAGCATAAATAGTTCCTTTCATTAAGAATGGTAGGACTCAGGTGCTTATAAATGGTTCAGAACAACTGAGATACCTGACCAAGGGAAGATCAATGATATTCTATAAATATCTGATCTACATGACTTCAAGCGAATCAAATTTCTATTGTCCACATGTTACATAAAAAGTATTAATATATGTGGCATCTCTAGGAAAAGATTTAAAAAATTGCTTCCTTTGAGCTGAATTTGATTTCAAATGACTTCTGCAGACACATCCATACAATTCTCTTGGCTTGATATGAAAAATGGTTTTGTCATCATCTTTTTTCGTTTTTGTTTTAATTTGCCAATTTAATCACTAGCCCTGGATCTCCCAGGAGACCTCTTTTAAAAATAGTAAGCAGGAACACTTCTGCTTTCTAGATCAGCCTAGATCCATTACCAAGTGCTACCATTTGCTGGCAAAGAGCAATTCTACCTGAAAGCATTTTAGTACACAAGACAAGTCACTGCGGTTTTGCTAGCAAGCTTTACGCTGTTTTTATCTCACCTTTATCATTTTTATAAATAACTCAAGGTGGCAAACATATCTAATATTCCTTCCCCCTCATATTTTTCTGACAGCAGAAACCCTGGGCTGAAAAACTGTGACTGGCCCAAAGTCATGCAGCCGGCTTTCGTGGAACCAGAACTCTGATTATTATCTGATTGTTGTTTGCCACCCAGAGTTGCCTTTGTGGAGATGGGATGAGATATAAATTTGATTAAAAAAATACACAAATAAATAAATAATAAACTTACACTTTCCTGGTTTCTAGCCTGGTGTCTTCACAACTATACCAACTCTCTTGAAGTCTAAATAAGCATTTATCCTTAATGGCTATTTCTACCTGTTTTGCTGCACAATCTAATCCAGGGCTAGTAATTTCATGATCCCCATTTGGCAGTGTAATCTATTTCTTTTCTCCCACCAAAATTAAAGATGAAAATAAAGGCATTAAGCCTTCATGATGCAATCAATCTCCATCCTTAAAGCTCTCAAAATATAATAAACATGTTCATATCTAACCCACTTATATCTCTTCATCCCTGGAAAACATTTCTTTCAGCTTTTAAAGGAGAATATATATGAAGTATCAACTTCAAAATAAAAAAATGTTCCCCATCCTGATTGCAAAAAAAAACAACATTTTACCAAAATGATAAAAAAATCTCATTGATAATCCAATTCATTTTTCATAGTTTTAGTTTGCACAAGTGAAAATGTTGAAATTTAAAGGTAACATTATCTCATCAGTTGTCCTCCTTATTAAGGTATTTCCATGTTAGGGAATAAGGGGAAAGATTTGCTATTTTTTCCAATGCTGGAACTATGGCACATACAATGTGAGAAAAATGTTTTCATGAGACTTTCACTAAAGATTATGGGCAAATGTAGATCAAATTGAATATGAATTATAAGAAAGCATTGGGCATATAAGAATAAAATTTAAATAAATAAATAAAAATAAAATAGATATTCTAAGAGCTTGACAGCAAATAATAATAATGATGATGATGATAATAACAACAATAACAACAACAACAACTTTATTGTCACTTTGAAAGTACACCAATCGGCATACATCAAAATGAAATTTCGTTGCATACAGCTCTCAAAGGGTCACCACCTCCGATATACACTCCTTGTTCGTGGCCAGCTCAAGTTACAGATCTTCCATTTTAGTCTCTAGGGAGCGAACGATGGCAAACAGGACAGATGGAAATGGAGCTCCATGTGGATTATTACCATCCCAGAAATTATTTTAAAATGGATGTAAACTACAACACAGTATGTACTTGTATTTGAACAAATACAAATAATGTTTGAATTACAGCATTGCTTCTCATTTCAATCAACTCATGAATTTATGCTGTGTTCACATAGAGTAGAAGATTCTTAAAACTTCCCATTCTCTTCCTGTAAGAGAATTTTGCTGTCAGTTTGGATGAAAATACCATCTTCCCGCCTCTAGACGAGATGGGTGGCACACAAATTTAACAAAATAAGAAAAATAAATATTATTCTGCATGTTATTTTTAAAGTCTAAAATGGCCATCTTGTCCAAAGTCTATTCAAATGTTAAAAGACAAATCTTCACTTCGAGTTCATTGCTACAAAAATTAGGATTGTAATAAGGCTTTTGGGCTATCCACATGGATTCTGTGAACATAATATAATTTATAACTATTTAAAACTTCCTGAAATGTAAAAAATAACATTACTGTGAAGCTCCATTTTTCACTATAAACCGAATTCACTGCTATTCAAAAGTCAAGGGATTTTTTTAAAAAAATACATGTATTATTTTTTCTATATTTCATGAAAGATCAGATAGGAGGCTCTTTCCTTTAATTTAAAAAGGAGCAGAAATAGAATACAATGAATTGGTTTGGATCACATAATAAACTGGAGTTCAGGGTAATGCTCAAACTATGTGTTATATTAGCACAGTCATTTTCATCTTAGCATTATCTAACTATTCCTAATGCTTACCATGAGTAGTTTAACCTCCTTTAGTCAGACCCTAATTATTTCATTCCTTTGCCACAAATCTTTTCATTTTAAATCCCCATTATTTGAAATACTGCCTTTCAGATGTTATTGACCCTTAGCCTCTGGCAACGCAATCCATCTCTGCATTCAGTGAATGCCAGTTTCAATAGCATATTTTGGGGGATTTCCAGTAGATTTTGAGTCAGAAAATGACAACTGGGTAAACAATGTGACTTATAAGCCACTAAAACAAAAAAAACAACCCACCCCATTATTCTTTTTCCATTGAATACTACAATATTGCAATCCTCCTCAGTATCTTACTTTTTTCCTCCTCCTACATGTATACAAACTTCTTTATATTCCACAGAAAAAGGAATGCAATTCCTGCCAAGACTTCCTTCCTATCACCAGCCTTCATGCAGATGGTTTCATGGAAAAAACGTGGCGGGGGGGGGTGTCAAAGAAGAGAATGAAACACTGTGCAAAGCAGAATATGGCTGCTGGGCTTTTCATTGGAGTATTCAAGAAGAGGGGCACGGCATAAAAAAAAAACTTAGAGTGCACATTAGCTCTATAATACTCTCTATTTAGGCATCATGGATTCATGAAAAATTTGCTTTGGTTAAAAATTGGCATTTTCTTTTCCATGGAAACTTTTTAAAAATTATTTTCTTTTTTTGTTTTATGGAGAAATCAAGTGCACATTCAATGGATTTTCTAGCAAATACAAACAAAATATGATCCTATGAAATTTCCTTTTGATAGAGTGAAGAAAAAGAAGGTATTCTATATTATGGAATATGAATACAAACACACATCATGACATATTTTCTCCTGGAATGTGCATAGAACATGGAGGATCAAACAGCCCAGTCCATTATTGCTATATAAAACCAAAGGGTTCTAGCTTAGCTGTTCCATACTTAGTCAGATGGATTCTGTCATCTAGCCCACCGGTCCCTAACCTCTGTGGCTTAGTGGCCTGGCTGGGGGGGGGAGAGAGAGGAACCAGACCGCGCCAGCGGGTAGCAACGCATCTGTGCAGCTCGACTTGTGCAAGCAGGTCAATGCACAAGCGCATGCACACAGAACTCAACTTGCACAAATTGAGCTGCGCATGCATACATGCACCAGCACACCACTCGCACACCCCAGTTCCAAATAGGCCACAGCCTGGTAATGGGCCACGGCCCGAAAGTTGGGGACCCCTGATCTAGCCAGCAAACATATCACAGGTTTCTTGACTTTTTTATATGGATGACTTAGCTTTCATTTAATCTATTCTTATCACACAAATGTTTTAGTCATTCTATTATGTATCATGTCATTTCTTTGTTTTTAACCAACAAGAGCCCAATTTGATTGTATCCTTCCCCCATGATATAATTGTAAAAGAGTGAGGTATGGACAAGAAAAATAAAAGATAATGCTCCAATACATTTTTGCCTTCATTGATTAAATGGTACACATTGGAATAATGTTAAGAAACAATTCTACTCTTCTAAATACATCTGTATAATCCTACCTGAGTTTCTAGTTCTGTAACTTCCAGATTCAGCTTATTGAGGTGCTTATTCACAAAAGTAATGAGAGTCTAGAAATTAAGAACATATATAAGCTTTGAAGTTTTTAAAAACAGAGTTCAGTAAAACATGCAAATGCTAATCTGAGCTTTAAAATAATTTAGCTTTTAGTAAATCTGCTTATTTGCTGGGTTTTGAGAAAGAGGAAAATGCTATGAAACTCTATCCCCCCCCAAAAAAACGCCAAAATAAAGAATGACTACATATTCTGAGAAATATTTATCACTTTATTTATATATATATATATAAAGGTATTGTTGCAACAGGATAACTGAGAAAAGAAAATAACATTTGAGCCACAAATAAGCTGTTGTAAAATGGAATGCCACTGTTTTCTCTTCAAGGAAGCTGTGCTTATCTAGATCAACTGGAGATCATATAATACAAATGTGTGAAATGGCAATTTCGGCATTTCACTCCTTTTCTATACCACTTCTCACTAGAAATAATGTACAGAAAAGCATTTGCATTTATATTATGAAATATTTATTTTAAGTAGAGGGGGAAACTAGTAAAACATCTCAGATTTCAATAAGGGGCTCTTTCATATGGCTATTTTCTATACAGTTCCTCCAGTGCAGATTCAGAAGGACCAATAAGAAGCCAGAAAACAAAGAGAGAATTGAAGTACTTATATAGAGGGAGATATGATGGGAGGCAAGAGGCAGGCGGTTTCCAAGGGGA